TTCTAAACAAACATAATATAACTGTATTTTCGGGCCAGTGAAACTATAAGATCCCCGCAAAGTAAAGGATAGATTTCCAAAGTAAGAACAGCAGAATGTTCTTTATGAGATCAACTGTCAAGATTGTAATGCAGCTTACGTGGGAGAAACATCTAAACAATTGAATGTGAGGATTAGGGAACAAAAACAGTGTTTGAGACATGTTCCCAAATCCTCAGTGTATCTAAAGAAACATGAGAAAAGGTCGGCGATAGCGTTACATGAGTTACGAACAAGACACAAGATCAACTTCGAAGGGACCAAAATACCTCAGAAAGGGTTTAGCATGCATAAAGAAAGACTGATATCAGATGCATTTTATATATGGGCTAAGAATATCCTAAATAGAAAAGATAGCATTCAAATACCCAACCCTTGAAATATGACGATTAACGAGTAATTAGATCCTATCTTTATCCAACCAGTTTATTCCACATGCATCGTTGTTCTGACGGAAATTAATTTGAATATTTTATCACAACTATGAACGAAATGAATTCATTCAGTATTGTTTGCTTGAATCACCCCATCGCACAGGGAAGTGACTATCAGGACTCAGTGGCCGAGTGGATAACGCGATGGTACTGGGTTCAAGTCCCAGAATGAACATCAACTCTGAGATTCAGGTACATCCAGCTGACGAGTCCCAAATAGGACGAAGTGACGCGCACACTGGATTCCACTGCGAGCCACTATCCATCTGTGCTTACTATGTACGTAATGGTTCTCGTTTTGCATACACATCGACGTTTCAAAAGATATTTTCAATTTGAATTTTTATTCTTACTTCCAACAAAAACAAATTAATACTTAGAATCAATTATCAATAACTGAAACTTACACATATACGCACACACTGTCACTCAATCATCTACATTTATTTGTTTTCACGGTGTGAACTATTAGTGGATTGGTCGAAGTTAAACATTAACACTGTTGGATACGGGATCAGTGGTCTAGAGGTTAAGCGTTCGCGCTCAAGACCGAGGGTCCTGAGTTCGGACCCCTGAAGAGGAGTCGTAGATGTGCACTGCTGGGGTGTCCAACACTAGGGCGAAACGATCGTCCAGGTTTTTCATGGTAGTCTTGTTTTAACCAACTCATGAATCCAACTATTAAACAAATTAACACCTAAAATCAACTAGTTATAGCATAAACTTACACATACACATGCATATATTTACACATTTGTCTATTTTCGCATGATTCACATGTATATGACTTATGTTGTCCTACTTAGTAAAATTAACATCTGGATATGATTGGATAAAAAAGGAATAGATTTTCCCCCTAATGAAGTTCAGATAAGTTTGCTGGACAAAATGTTGGGATTATTCTAAATCTAATGGTTAAGATTAGTTCAAATACAATTCCACCAAACAATGTTTTCTCTATACTTAGCGCCCAATTCCTGTTAACATATTTGTTCATATATTGACGAATATTCGTATAAACACAAAGATGATTCTGATAAGCATCAGTAGGTTGTTTCAGCAACATAATTGAAATTTTAGTGTGATTGAGGAGGTAAGCGTTACCAATTCATCTATTTATAAATAATCTTGCAAAATCAATAAAAGGTTGATGCAAATTATGTCCAACACTTGATCTAAACGCTTTATTTTGAGCATATTTTTTATATAATTCTCAACAATGGTTATGGATTTATCTAGTGTCAATGAAATTCCTCTAATAGACAAATTATATGCAAACTCTCAATACTCAAATGAATATTCCAAGTAAGCGAATTCAACGTATTTCCTAAAATATGAATTGACTTTATTCACAATAATAACTTCGATTCAAAATCCAAAAATATAGAAAGAAGCGGGAAAACATAGTTCTATCTGACAGGGAAATTCTTCATGATTTTGAATGAGGTTTAACTCAACTTTCCAAAACTCTTTACTGATACTGGTTTTTCTTAACTTTAACACGTAACTGTCTGAAATGCTTTAAGATATATCTTAATATTACATTTTGTGAAATGTATTCTAATTTACACAAAATCAGTTATTATTGTGTTTCTTAGGCCATACTCAACGGAAAAGCTTTTCACCTTTGTTACTGAAAGCAATACGTAACTGAAATCCAGACATTTTTGAAACCACAGAAAGTCAGTTTAGTAGTCGAAATTACTTTTTCACTGTTCTGATTTCATAACTTACACAAGTAAAATACTAGATAAAAACGTACAGCAATGTATAAATTTCAATGACCATATTACCAGGATATTTTAGTTACAAAGTGAAATCTATAGTTGACTGACTGTTATTTCTGACCAGTAAAAAGATCAGAACAATAATGAGTCGAAAGGTAGCTTATAACTACAATGATATTAAGATACCATAAAACTGTTCTCTCATAAATATTCAGTTAAGATATAAAAATTAATTACCTAGAGAATAACTACCAAAGAAATACATCAATATTAGAGTTACTAGTTGTGAAATCGGACGACCATGATTAACATTCTACGACCACCATCAATCCTCTCCAGATTACAGTTTTGCCTTGATATTAAATCTCAACAAGCATGAAACCTAGATTCATGACTTCATTATATGTGAAAAAATTATATTTGAAATAGTCTCAGCGATTGAAATATAAATAATTCCAACGTTTCGTCCAGCTAACTTGTCTGGACTTCTTCAGGGAAATAATCAAAATCAAAATCATCAAAGAAATATATAGTGTTTTTTTAACAATCATATCAAAATCTCTACTACTTTAATCCAATCATATTTGGATGCCGAATTTTTTGTAAACAGGATAATATGAGTTAGTTGAATGAGAATCAAGTGAAAAGTTCAACGATGTAAAAGAAAAGGAGACTGGATGAATTGTGTGTGTGTATGTATGTGTAAGATGAGTTATTAATGAATGATATTCAGTGTTGATATGTTTCTATGTGAAGTAAAAATAAGAATAAAAGTGCAAAATGAAGGTTGAAAAGTTCATGACATTACGTTAACTGATTTCAACTGTCTAACACAAAGTATTTATTGACTCTTATACAAATTCCGAGCACAAACTATTCATGTTAGATTTACGCAACACGGCCAACATTTCAGGAATGATTGAATAAATTAGCCCCATTGTTTCGTTTTCATATTTAAATCTACAGTGGACATTCACGACCCCATTGAAAACCAGATGTCCTGCATTTGCAATACTAGTATGTTCAGTGAATTGTATGACGAGCACTCGATCCCTTTGGTAATATCTGTCACACACGAGATAGTTGGACACTTCCATTCATGGATCTTCTCCTAAACTTTAGGAATTGTCAGAGATAGTCACCTATGAGCATATGCATATCATTAGTACGATTGATAAAAATACCACTACGAATTGAGAAATCTCTACAAATCAAATATTTGCATGTTTACTTGTTTGTTTATTATTAGTGGTAGTGAATAAGTATTTATCAAAACTATTCATTTGCTTATCAGTTAACTAATACGTCACCGCATGTAGCTCTTCTAGAGTTACTGCCGGTCCCAAGCCCGAGTAAAGGATGAAATTAGGCATGGGGTCGGCAACCCATCCCATAGAAAATAACTTTGCTACAAAACGCCAACCAGAATAAACAAATTAAATCATTTAAACTCTGCCCTCCGAGTTGAAGGGAGAATTACACGTCATGATGGAAGCCGAGATTCTTCGAAGTCACGAGGCCGATGCTCCTTCTAACAACCAGAGCAACAATTTTTATAGGTACATGAAATGTTCGGACAATGTAGGAGACCGGGAGGATAAATCAGATGGCTGAGGAAATGAGGAGATACAACTTGATGGTTTACGGAACCAGTGAAAACCATTGAAACGAAGCTGGACAGAAGAGATTAGATTCGAGAGAGGTTCTACTGTGCTCTGGACACGAAGAGGAAAATGCTTCACACACTCAGTGAGTTACTCTGGTGCTGTCTAGAGAAGTACATTAAGCACTCATACTATAGAAACCTCATAGATTCAGAATCATTAAAGCATCATGCAAAACAAGGTAGGAAGGAGTCACAATGAATTGTATCAACTGTTATACACCCACCAATGATAGGAATGAAGAGGATAACGGTCAGTTTTGCGAGAGGCTGCAATCGATCATAGAGAGGTGATCAGGAAAACACCTGACCATCCCGATAGGAGGTCTAAGCACTAAAGTTGGAATGAAAAACAACGGTCATGAAGATGTCATAGAACGACATGAACAGAGAGAAAGGAACGAGAATGGTTGTGGCCAAGATAAAACTGGAGCTAAAGAAACACCAGACAACTGGACAAACAGCATTACAAAAATTCAACACAGCCTTCCTTCAAGATACTGATAAACTCAACGAATTCAAGATAACTCTCAACAACAGGTTCCAAGCCTTACAGTATCTACAGAAAGAAGAAACTACGATGGAGGACAACTGGAAAGGGATCACAGAATTCGTCAATATACATCAACTTCATTGACTATGAGAAGGCATTTGACAGTGTGGACAGGAGAACATTATGGAAACTTCTTTGACACTATGGAGTTCCTCGAAAGATTGTCAACATTATCCGGAACTCATACGACGGACTTCAGTGTAAAGTTGTGCATAGAGGACAGCTCACAGATGCATTTCCAGTAAAGACCGGAGTCAGGCAAGGCTGTCTACTCTCACCTTCCTCTTTCTTCTGGTGATTGACTGGATTATGAAAACCTCGACATATGACGGGAAGCATGGAATACAATGGACATCTCAGAATCAATTGGACGATTCGGACTTCGCAGATGGCCTAGCCCTCCTATCTCATACACACGAACAAATACAGACGAAGACAGCAAATGTAGCAGCAGCCTCTGCATCAGTAGACCTCAATAAACACAAAGGAAAAAGCAAGATTCTCAAATACAACTCGGAGAACGACAAGTCAATCACACTTGATGGAGAAACTCTGAGGGAGGTGGAAACATTCACGTACCTGGAAAGCATCATTGATGAAAAAGGAGGATCTGATGCAGACGTAAAGGCGAAGATTGGAAAAGCAAGGACAACATTCCTACAGTTGAAGAACATATGAATTAGTCAATCATGTAAATTAGTTGGAAACCAGTAAATGGTTATACTTCGAAATACTTCATTCACAATTTATGATTAGTTAACTAGATAAGTTGCGAATAAATGTATGGTAATAATGGAAATTTTATCAAAAAAACTTGTTATCCTGGTAACTCTTGGTCAGATTTTTTATGAGTTCATGCTGATTTGTAATGGACATGTTCCATCAGTGTCAGAAAGCGTATTTATAAAAACTCAGCTAGTCGTATAATGAAGGGGTTTCGAAGTAAATACTATTACAGTTCTAAAGTACACATGATGGTTGAATTTTCGTCCCATTGAAATAGCACTGTTAATGACCATTTCTTGAACGTACACTAAGTTACGGTGACCTTCAGTAATGATGAATGACAACAATTTGAATAAATAAGTAGAGAATATCCAAGTAGAGGGGTTGGGAAGCTTAGGATTTATAAGAATTTGTTTTCTGTTATGATGGAGTAGGAATGACAATACAAATCCAAAACACGTGGAATGCTCAACCGTTCTGATGCAAATTAATGATAAAGGAGAGTCTCGAATAAATCATATTATATATATCATATTAGCATTCTTGCAGTGTTAAACTAGTCAGATATCCTTCAGATAGTTGTCCCAGTTTTTGAGTGATTTTGCAAATATGTCGAAGTCAGTGTGTGGTCATCTGGAAAACTACTTACGGCTTTATAAAGAATTATTAAAGAAACTAACCTAGACTCAAGTGTTGAAAATCTTGATTTTAAGGCTGGAAAACTGATTGTAAACATTGGCGAATTTATTAGCAATTTACAAATACATTTTTTATTACTTCTTTTTTAAGAGGAATTTTCTGGACTATACCTCTAAATTAACTCATTGACCAGTAGGCGGCATAAATATTTTAAGGTCATTTTAAGATCGCTGGAAGTTGACGTAGTGGTGTTTTATCAGCATTGCAAACAAATAAACTTATTAACACTTGCTCGTACAATTATCATTCAAGTATTAATATACTGATTTAAGGGAACATTAAATTTTTCGGTTTTCAGTAAAGTCACATTAGTAGATCAAGTATTAATCGACAACTTACGAACACTACATAAAACTATACAGTGTACTCAGATTTTTATAATTATATGATTCGGTTCTGAGATCAGTTGGTATATATTAGGATGGTTTTGAAATGGTGACGGATAATGTATGAAATTTATTTAATGAATACATTCCACACATCAATATGTGAAAGACTGCTGATAGACAGAGGACAGGTCATTATGAAAGCACCAGAACCATATTATCATTTTTTATTTAGTGAAATATACAACACTGAAATAGTTTTAATAGAAAATCTATACGATTAACAAGAATTCGATGGTTGGAACTGAATAGATCTGGTTCACAAAAAGACTCAAACAGACAGTCACATTTATTCAAAATTTATATAATGTGTGTTGAAGACATTATCACTAAGACTAACAGGTGTTCCCGGTCGATCAATCTTTCTCTGGCTTATATAGTCAGGTTAGTAGATGGTCAACGTGAAACCCTCATGCAAACTGTATCTTTAGAATAAAACTTCAAATATGATAGTGAACCTATTGCTTTCATTAATCCGTCATATGAAAATTCGCCAATAAAAAAGAGTTATTCACCTCAAATAGCATACAATCGAAAACATATTGATCATAAATAAGATGAAAGAATAAAATGATCAAATTTGACCCAATAATATATTTATCACACTCATGTACAAAGTAATTCAAAGGAATATAAAAGAATTCTAAACAACAATTAAGTAAGGGATGTTTGTGAACAGTGAGAAAAAGAAGTGTGGTGCATACATGTAAAAGAAAATAAACAAATTGTTCATGTATATACGAAAAAAATACCTAATGCAACAAGTAATATATGTGCAATGATGGTGTCAACGGATTTAAAACTCCTCTGTATTTAAATGACGATATGCCACTTTACTATTCATATCAATTCTACTAATACGAGAACGTGAACAACACCCACCGTATATATTGTACAATATATGCTAAAACATGTAAAATATACAGTTCAAGGATAAACAAATAAACAATATTATTTATTCAATTGGCAGGGTAATTATTACAATAAAAAAGAAACAAGAATTATTTTTATAAATATTAGATCTAATAATAAGTCAGGCGCATTACGAAGGACATCATTTAAAGAACACTCAGCGAAGGTTAAACAGTTATTTTTGCCTAGGTTGATTAACAGCCTCGTGTCGTGCTCATTAACCACTCCACACGAAATCTAGCTCACGAGCATCAGATTTAGCTGCAAATACAGTCACTTCAGGTTACTGAGTTGATATTCAGCGGTCTATCTATCCAAATTTAGCCAAATTGTTATATAGCGCGAAAAATATTCGGTGCTATTAGTGGATAATTACTTCGTTAGCGAAGTGGTTTAAGTTACAGAGATGGATTAGAACTCAGTGATAACGCTTCTTTGAGTAAGACCTGAAACTTTTTGACTCGACTCCTCGAGGAGTGATGAGTGTATAGTGCTGCTCACTGGGACTAAAAACAGACTGAAACCAAACGAATGTATCAATGCTCTCTCCACTACTTAACTATTTATCTTTAATACTTAATTATGTCAAATTTAGCTTGCAGTAGTTGGTGTAATTTGAATGGTATGTCAACGTCATTCACAATAGAGTTTGGTGACTGTTTGAGCTTATCGCCTCCAATGTTAGCAATTTGATACAGGTTGAACAAAAGGCATTTTTGCTTAAAACTCTGAAAAGTAACTCTGTTGATGCACGCTATATCTCAATAGTCGATATTCCAAATATCAGTGAAGTATTGAGTAGTTTTTCCGTAACTTGATCTATGAAGTTAGCTTTGAGTGTGGTCATCTTGGAGGTGGATATGGGGGCAATTATTTAATGACTAAAGCACTCGAATATCAAGCAGCTAATTGAACGTCTAGATCTCATTCCATAAACTTTGGTCCTAGTAACCTGGCAGTATCTCTAATTCTTATAATAAGATTAAATACTAAGTAAATAAACCGGTATCTGCCAAACCAGTTATAAGTTATACATACTACGTACTTAGTTTTAAATTGCATTCCACACTTTTTTGCAAATATCTGTGAATGAAATTACAGAATAAGAGTGGGAAATACATAACCAACGTAAAATATTGTACAAGAGGAATGCCACATTTCAACTCGGAGTCGTTTCACCTCAAAAGCACTGTTTAAGTGATTATTCACATTAATTTTGAATAACAATATACTTGAAACAATATTACATTACTACGCGTAATATAAGTTTAGCCTTTATTAATCAGAACACAGTAGTCAGTGCACAAATTCGCTATGGAAAATCATTATGCGTCAAAATGATTTATAAATTATTAACTGGGATAAATTAAAAAAGTGCTACAGACCGAAAAGCATTCACTATACAACTGTCATATTATCGTCGATATTGGAAAATAAACTAAGAATTATGATTCCATCAAATAAGTGGTAAAATCAACATCTTCATGTTTACTAAGATGGAAATCACCTATTTTCATGGTATTACGATATATCATGGTTAACTCTAAAGATACCCAAAGAAAAAAGTATTTTGTGGTTACAAGGGAGGATCTATTGGTTTTGAATGTAATTTTTTTAAAAAAAAACATTGCTTTTGTCCGCAAAAATAATATTCTCATGATTTCAACTTTGTGGTTTAGAGTTATCATTATACATGGAGCAGGTAACTCTCTTTAAATTTACCGGTGTTACCTTACTACTACTTATTTTCAGTTTATTAACTGACTGAACAATGATTTTTTTACATATGCCTATCAAACGCTCACCTGAACTTGAGAATCGTTAGTCTGGTTTTCTGACGAATAAATAATGTACTAGTAATAGTGTAATTCATTCACTAGATATAAGTTTACACACTCAGCTTTGAGTTTAGTGGTAAGCTAGTAATATTATTGGTCGACTGTTGAAATCGAAACTAGGTGCTTAGGAAAATAGTATTCTAGAAGCAACAGTAGTAGTGTTTTTTGGAGAAAACATTACAATATCTTTTTACGGAATGCTTCAACCCTTCAGTTCAAAGCCGACGATCATAGGTTTTCATCAACAAAGGAAAATTCATACGGTTCAGATACAGTGATTAACTCCGCCTGTAGCTCCTCCAGGGGCTACTGCCGGTCCCAAGCCCGGGTAAAGGAGGAGGGTTGGGCATGGGGTTAGCGACCCCATCCCGTAGAAAATCAACTCGCTAAAAAAACGCTAACCAGAAAAATTCATTCAAACCATTCAAACTCTGCCCTGGGAGTAGAAGGAAAAATGACGTCTCATGATGAAAGCCGAGTTCATTCGGAAGTCATGAGGCCGATGCACCTTCTTACAACCAGAGCGACAATTTTTATAGGTACATGGAATGTCCGGACAATGTGGGAGACCGGCAGAGTCTTCCAAATCTCTGCGGAAATGAGGATTGGTCAAATACAGTAGATGTTTACTTTAGCTAAAAAGTGAGGATTCAAAAGGCTACCTTTGAATGTTACTGTGCATACAAATACATTTGGAATAATATTACGTTTTCAGTTGTGTAATACGCCGAACAAACTTAATTCAAAACCATTCAGAGGAATTGAAAATCATACTAAAAGAACTAACGGATGATTATTAAACAGTATTACTGTCATTTATCTGTAAAAGATTAAGACAAACTAATTATAAAGCAAAATAAAACGGGAAAAGGAAGATAGAGATTTATTAGGATTAAAAACTAAATTGCACATGTATATATATATATATATATATATATATATATATATATATATTAATTACACTCAATGATAAGGATGAGAATGAAATCCGAATTAAGCACGGTAATTACAATATGTGCACATACAAAATTAATTTACTGAATTTGGTTAGCATATTCAGCACAATAAATTAGGAGAATATCCTACTTCATGAAGTGTATTTTTAAGAAGGATTCTTGAGAAACAAGTAAATTAGACAGAGAAATTAACCGATAAGAAACAATAGACATGTTCCAGCCTAATTCCAGATAGCTTATTAACAGTTTCACTGAAGATGTCTAATACAGATTGATTTAATTATTGGAACTAAAACTGTCTTGAGATACACAAGAACAAAGTTTCTTTGTACGAATCTTTTCATTAAACAATACAAGTGAAAATGCTTAGAGAAGTGAAGAATTCTAGATATATTCCCTAGACTTTTATATAATGAAGAATTTAACTACGAGTTAACGCTTTAGTTCAGATATTTTTATTGAATAACTATAAAAGAATAGTTTTATGGTGTCGTAATATGATTATAATTAGAAGCTGTTTTTTGATACATTAATTATTGTTCTGACCTTTTAACTGGTCAGAAATGACAGTCGGTCAACCGTAGATTTCACTTAATTCTGTAACTAAAATATCTAGATAATATGGTTGATGAAATGTATACGCTGCTCTACGTTTTGATCTAGTATTTTACTTATGTAATCATGTGAATTTAAATTGCAGTAGCACTGATTTGTAACAATTTGTCTTAGTATTCCTTTTTCTAATTGATGTTTTGAAAAAATTGGAGCTTGTGTAACCTATCGACTGCATGAGACAAATAGAATAAGTTAACGAACTTATAGTTAATAGAGTGGAAGAACATAATACTGTTGATATATAACCAATGGAAACAACTAAATAAATGCACTTAAGGACTTACACAAAGAGGTTTCCAAATGCATAGAATAAGCACAACTAGAATGCAGCATAGTACGAGGACGTAACTCACGGATATATCGGGAGTATCTAGATTGAAAAATAACAAGTTGGAAGAAAAACATATGCTTGATTTATTTGACTGTACATATGCTGAATCGAAATAGAAAACACTGATCTTTTAAACGATTTTACTTCAGAATTTGTTTAACCACAAACACACACATTTCCACAATAATAAGCTACAGAAAATAGTAATAAATGAATATGGAAGAGCGATAGCGTCACATTATTTGTATTGTTAAACCAAAAACTGAAGTCATAGCTAGTGGAGTTTAAGTAGGACTGGAAATACTTTTCTACCGATGATATCGAATGACTGTAGATTCATAGTTCGAGCTGACTAAAACCACAATTGTGGATCGTCGGATTACAGCTCAGTGGTTTAAAGGTAATGGGATTTCCTGAGTAACTGGAAGATCTGTTCGATTCCCTACTGAGCCTCAAGCTAGGACAGAAAGGAGGTATATTGCTCCTTGTTTCTCCTTAGTTCCCAAACTGACGCCAGACCATGAGAACGTAAATGAGTCTGTTTTTAGCTATCCTGGATCTCGGTTAATTCCGTATGCTTCTTAGACTCATCCTGTTAGCGGGACATAGATTGGATTAAAGCATATTTCATGCATGATGGTGTTGCTGCGCGCTGATTGGCTAATTCTAAACCAATCAGCCCTGGCAAATTATTAGAGAAAAATCTAGAAGCTTCTTATGTATATACTATAAATATATGAACGTTGTTCAAATCAGTGATTGCTGTTCACTTACGATTGTCATTTTGAATACAATTTCATTCCTGTTCAACGTGTTCTGATTTGGGGTCTTCTTGAGTGTCATTGTATAAGAATACTAAGCAATAGGAATAGCTGGGTCGTTTATTACCAAAATACAATTGTAACACATCCTATTGCATAACAAAGTTCCCTCGACAACGTGATACTAAAGGCTTAGTACAAAACGTTTAGGGAATCCACGTACTTCGGTCACACTAGAACCAGAGGACAAAAAGTATAAGGTTTAAAAGGTATGAGAGGTGTGGTGCACTATGTAGTATACGAATTGATAAATCAATCAACCGTGTGGTGTGTGGATTGATGCAACGACCAATTGTTGCGTGAATTGTTGAGTGTATTTATATAATTCAGATAAGCGGCAAATATATAATCATACATAGAAAACTGTTGTTATGAATAAAAATTTTATGACAAACTTAAGATTATTAAAATGAATGGAAAGAATACTGATCAATCGTTGATAAGCAGTGATTTAATGTGGCAGTCTAAGAGACCGAATGATTGACATAATCTGTAGTATCGTTTGAAACCAAAAACAGGACCGCTAGCCAGAAGAATAGACATTTTATGCACTAAAACGACATATTTATGCATACAATATTATCATAAACTAAACACGATATGATGTCACAAACGATTGGAAAAAATCAGTTATTAGGTCAAGCCTAATTCTTGAACAGAGTACAGGGATGAAAACCCACAATTGATCACGTGGATAAGTAGGAAATAATTCATAGGATTAAAATACATAACGTATATGATTGCCAGATGAATTTCCTGTCATATACCTGTTTATATTACCACAGGCTCGCATAAGTGTATGGTTCAAGTGAATAATATGAGACTGCTACATCGTAAACTGCCTTCAAATCTTCCGTTGAATTTTCAAAACGGCATTAATCAAGATTCTAATAGGGATTATCCATAGATTAATAGTTACGGAAATGGATTCCATGAAATGGTAAGGTAAATCTAAAATAAAATCACTGAAAGCATTGAAACATAAATAAACTGGTTTGAAGTAAGAGGTAATTAGAGGGAACATTGTAAGAGAAAATATCCTATTGTTTTCCTAACGGATATGCAGTGTTAACTAAAATTGTTTGTAAAGTTTGAAGTAATTTATTATCTCATACATCTTGACCCCTTGGTAAAATTAAGCAAAGCAAGGAGAACAATATTCACAGAATAAAATAAATTCATTGTATTCATGGCTTCTCATCAGCTGCAAATGGCCGCAGTCAACGCTGTTCAGTTCAAAACCAATTAAGAAACAAGAAAAAACAGCACATTTAACATAATTGTTAAGATTGTTTGATATTTATATGTTGAAGATGAAATCATAAAAAGGGGAGGAAGTAAATTTGCAGATGATAATAGAGAAACGATGAATAAAAACAAATTGTTAATGAATGAGTGGTAATAGTTTGCTACGGCTCAGGAAATATTCGCTTCATGGTCCAATTATTTGAACACTTTTTATTACGTAATCTTATAATTTTTATGAATGTTATTTCAGTGTCTATATTTTCCTAACCATTGACCTATTTCCCATTATGTAACATTGATTCAAGCCTCCATTATTCTTACCACAACTAATACACCTGTTATCATACTACCAATTTGTACTTTTCACTTATTATTATTTTTAGTCATGTAACCTATTCCACTGTTATTATTGACTAATAAACTGCCTTGATTGGTTTAATAATTTCGTATATGCCTATAAATATTACTGTATATTAGAGTAAAGCCTGATGAGGATCTAATCGAAAACAATATTGTTTGCCTATATATGTTGTTATAAATCAGGAAATAAAGTTAAATTTACTGTTCAAAAGGTTGTTCAATTAAAAAGACGCAAAAGTTCCCGACTGACGCCTTTCATTGCTCTAATACCTGTGAAAAATGTACTACTGTAGTGACCGGCCAGTCTCGATAAGAACACGATTGGAATAACGGAAACAATTATTGTTATTGTAACCAATTGTACCAGAGATTGTTTTACTGTATTTGTTTAACTGTATCAGTTTCACTTATGCTTTCCCTCTCCGCCTTGTTTGGTTCGAACTTGCGTACGCACTGCTCATTTTGCCTGTACTCTTTGGCACGTCTCGGTATTATTTCGATACCACGAGATCGCCAATAAATATACTTGATCTGGATTAATAAAGCTTTCTGATTTACGAGCTATCAAAGGAACCAAGTTGCTTTTGGGCGCGTAAACGAATTGTAGTGGTGATCATAGTCCGTCTTCGACTCGACATCCACTACACTACCAAAACAATCTTGAACTAGAACACTTTAAATAATCTAATATCTGACATGTCCAGTTTATTTAATGTTATTATCTATATCAAACTGATCGTGTCGGTAAATAGGCAAGCAATATTTTCGGAATATACCATATTATTGTTATTATTTATAGTCAAGGCACCTAGTTAACATAAAATCAAAGCTACCGTCTTGAGTGAGTGTCACTGAGTTTTTTACTTTAAGTTACAAACCATATTAACTCACAAGTGTTAAAATAATTTAACTATCTTATTACGGCACTTTCTGTTTTGACAACAGCGAAACGAGAATGCGAAAAACAAGCTTGAATCTTCAGTAAGAGAAAAGTTAGCTGAAAATTTCAAAAGCATAACATACACAATGTTAAGTATTGGAAGAGGTTGCTAAGATCTCATAATTTTTCGAATATTACTCACGACAAAAAACTGCAACCTCAGTTGCTCAATACAAACCAGTGAAGTCACATCATTTATAGAATGCATTTGCCAAATATTTGTGGTACTTACGAAGTTACGTCACGAAGCAATAACTGACTAACGGTGAGCCACGTTCACTATCATTCTTACCGATTACATCATAATATACCTGATATAAATGTTGACAGTTTCAAAACCAAATAATAACACATTTCACATTCCATGCATTATTACTTCATTTTATACACAAAAACATGAACTTACATAATTTATCGCGAACTACGGTACCAGAGTCGCTTTGATATATAAACCCGTTGGATTTTTTAGACTCAGATTCGGCGAAATGCTTTCTGTTGAAAATATAATTTTCAGGATCTATTTGTGGTCCAACACCCTCGGAATCTTTTTTTCGTGGCTCAACATATGAATCACTTGAATGGATAGAGCTTTCTCCTAGTTCGCTTTTTCCAAACTCATCGATTTCAGTAACCTCCTCTTGGATAGCATTTGTTCCAGTTGTTATATGTCTAACCTCTGTAGTTTTTTCTGATAACAATTTATCCAACTGCTTAGTGGAATTCGGAAGTTTGGTAGTCAACACACCTTCGAAAATAACGGTGACGTTTGATGCTGTAAGCTTTGACTGACAAATTAAATTTATATTTACCTTTCCATAACTTACTTTTGGTGTTACATTAACAGATGTGAAAACATACTCCAATGTAGAGAAATTGGATTTAAGGATTGACAACTAACAATTTTGTTGTTTAATACTTCAAGATTGATGTTACTTACATTGCCATGGCGGTTAGTAGTTTTCCCGATACCAACTGAAGAACCGTTAAGTACATTGTTAGATTCGTCTTTTAGAGCATATACATGATGGAATAGTATCCAAGTTAGTTTGAGTGCCAAACAATAATTCACTATTAGGGAAAACAAAATATTACTTCGTCAAACTCCTATTTATTTTATGGCACAAAAAGCCGGGAATCAGTCAGAGATAAAACCAAATACATGGATATTAGGATTAAACTACTCTGAGTCTGATTCTCCTCTAATATACTATGCATAATAAAACATAACAAGTAGTTTTTCAGAAACACTTTAATAATACTAAGCGTCAAATAACGAATAGAAAGGTTGGTTAACAAAGGTATAGGATGCATGGGTTATGTTAAAGTGACGTTTTCTACATACTTGTTTACGTATTCTGCACTAATTCATACCGTAGTGCGAAGGCTGATACCTCTTGACTGCTGAAAGCAAGGTATGTAGAATGGGGATCGCACCCCCCAGCCAACCAATTGAAGACCAAGTACCGTAATCGTCAAACCAACTAAACCCCTACATCCATTACCATCAGATAAGCATACAAGGAACAAACTTCTTGGGTTAAGTGATGGATATTACCCAATACCCCTTAAACAGGGAGTGAAGTATGTGAGTTTTTTAACTACTTCACTTATTCCGAAGTTTTATTAGCCCCGATGAAAAAATTCGGGAAAGATTCAGAAATTCCAGTTGGTTTTCATCAGCTAAAGGAGGATCATAAAAGTAAAGTGTTATCTGTTCTACTTCGTGTCTGCACAATATGTTCTTTAGAAATATGGGATATTTGTAGGTCACTAGTATTCGATCACAGATGTCTTCGAAACATCGTCCGTGCATTCTGAGACCACCGAGTGAAAAATACTGAATTGGAACACAGTCATGGTAGAAAATTGATTGGTGAAGTTGAGGAATTTTATATATTGTTTGGGACACTGATTACGTACCACTGCCTACTTTGAAGTGCGGTGATGGCTAATACAGGAATGAGTAAGAAGATAGGGGGGGGCAAAACTAGAACGTTGCGCTACCCTATATAGTCACTGACTGCTGAACTGGGCTGTGTAGGTAGATGCAGACTACTTGGTCGAGACTTGAGAGATTGCTGTAATGGATGGTGAGGCTTGGGTGAGATAGTTCAGTCGTTACCGATAGCGCAGGTGCATCCGCTCTTTGTCTTCCCTTAGATACTGAACTTCTTAATTATTTCAAAAATTTTGCTCTTATTCCTCTAATCTATATTTTCTTCTCTATTCATATTTTCTATCAAGAATTTTTTAATACCACTAATACTGTTACAACCCAAACTACTCTGGCATCTCACCATGATAATATGGTGTGGCAACATGAACCAAAAAGCATGTATCGGGCTCTACTTTTCATATGATTGACCGACTGGATGAGAATATACTGCAAACGTTGAGAGTGATAAGTGTTAACGGAGTGAAAGGTGTAAGAACAACTACGTTAAACTTTTCATGGAGAATAACGGTCTGGTAATAAACAAGTTTTAACTGAGTCTTTAAGTACTAACAGTGACGAACTAATGACAGAAGCCAGAATTACAGTGGAAACAAGAGATAAGTAAAATAAGAACACGAGTTTATATAAGACTTAAGTCAGTAGTACAGAAGGATAGATACCACTGAATAATATCGACGATGTGTCCGTCTATCGGAGATCAAGAAGTTCTTAGTATCAATCCCGGATACTTGTAATTTAGAATTCATATGTCATATTCATTTGACATTGTAAAATTATTGGCTGGTCCCACTTTTTATAAGAACGGTTGGTTTTAAAAGTTCTGCACTCTATTAACAACACTACAAACAACTGATAGATTTATTACCATAATAACTTAGCGACTAATTGACACGAACTAACTGATTCTGTGCTTGTTTATTGGTGTTAGGAAACCTTTTCAGACCCCTGGTGACATATAGTGTGGTTAGTTCAGCAGTCCTGACTGCAATATACACAGCGGATTCAAAATGTATTAAGGACAGTATTCAATGATTCTGTAAATTATAATCCAGTTTTTTTTCAACTTTCCCTACGAAGGCTGCTTGCGTCACGTCGGTAGCGAAGGCTTTAAATGCACCATATACACTAATGGAAAAATCTGGGGTTGGAGTTGTGCCCGATTCTCGCTGAGCGATCTTCCGTTCGTTGAACCACAGGTCACTATAAGGACAATCACCTTGAGCTAATCAATTAAGATGGTCTGAACTACTCGGTATAATCAGAAACGTGATCAAACCTCTTTTAAGGAGACATCACCTAGCTGCTTTCGAACCGTAAACTAGGTGGATCATTTCGAGTTTTCGATAGTATGGATGTCTTGTGTTAATACGAATACTGTGTCACACTGTCAAATTATCAGAAGCGGAGTCTGCAGATGTGAGCAATCTGTTGATTTTCATGAGTTAGGGAAAAAGCTTGGGGTTTTCGTACGTCGAATTGCCAACAGTTATTACTCATCTATACTGCTAACAGCACCAGTGCCCTTGGAAGCTGCCATGAGACTCTTTTATGTCATGCTGTGATAAGGATTTCTGTGAATATCAATGAGATCAAAGAGTGTCAAATAGATTTTTGGGACAACCTAGATATGGGAGATCTTCAACTCATCAGAAAAAATTACAATTACTGAAAAGCTCGAGAATCGGACATCTCTCCACGAGCGGAACACGTGAGTTGTGGAACTCGTTAGCGGTATTTGAGGATAATTGCGGAAACTACTAAAGAAATACATCCGCTTACAACTTCAGAAGTGAGACGATATGTGGCAATATCATCTTTACGGGCTTGGGATATAGTGTGTGATCAGGTGTATTCTGGCTCTAAAAATGTGCTTGGTTGTATCACTCTGACAAAACGCTTGTTTCGCAAGACCTCCTGAATACTTAAGAAATAACTTATAACATGCACAACACTTACTCTCAATAGTGACGCAGAAGTTATACCTTGCGGTTTAAAAGTTTTTTAACATTTATAACAACCTCGTCTTAAGAATTTAACCTCTTCTCTTCGTATAAGTGAGCTCACCCAGATATTGGATAACCCTTTTCTGGGTATCCTGGTCGTCTTAATGCAATAACGAACACGAATTTAATGATTGATTGCACATGATTTAAGTGATTCTGCCCGCAATAGAGGTTTTCTCTTAAAGGGCTGTCGTATCTAGTAACAGTGAATCATTGATGCTGCCAAATGGTAGCCGAGGTATAACCAACGATAAAATAGAAAAAATATCTACAAATTATATTGAGATATTATCCTTAAGCCCCCAAATACTCTGGTACGGCCGAGAGTAGGGAGAGTTCGCTCTCCTCGAAATGCTCTCACGTGTCAACGCGTATACAACAACTATCAGGGAAGTATTGATCACCATCTTCTTGTGGCGAAGGCGTTGTTTACGTATATGAGAGGATGAAAAGCGAATGTTCAGTGCTTTCAACGGTTTGGTGGATGTTGAGGATCCATCAAGGGGAGTTGGAAAACCCTGATTCAAAACCAATCACGCACATGGGCTACAGTATCCTTAGGAGATAAATGGCGTGTAAACCAATTGTTGGTCACCGGCCACCATGAGACTGCATCTACTAACGTTGCTCCACTGTCTTGTGCGATAGAACTGTATGTCAAAGGCTCGGGTAGTGACCCTTTAAGAAAATCACCTGCTTCAGTTCGGGCACCCGAGCGATATCCCAGTCCTCACATAAATCAAATAACGAAATGTGGCACAAATGTACTCGGTACCCTCTCATACCAATAGTTATGCTCAAATAAACTAGGTTTTCTTCTTCAGAACTTCTGAGAAGTCGCTTGGACTGACTCAACAGGCAGCAAATTCCAGCATTCGCGCTATTCGAACGGGAAGTTTAGTCCTAACGTGATTTACATTTCTCAAACTTTTGCTGTGTTCTTACGCAACAAAAGTATCATTTCCAATCCAAAGAATCTATTCTGAGCTATACGTTCGGTAGATTACTTCTTTTTTTGTGTTTCACTCAAATTAATAGTTAACTGTGGTTTTGCCTCAGCTCACTATCGGTTTTTTTTATTGTTTTCACGTAAAGGCTTTAGCTTATCGTTAACTGTTTTTATACATTTTTGCCAGTTTTTGTTTACTGTGTGTTTTTTTTAACGGTCCTAGATTTACTGCTTGTATTTTTAAGACAGTCTAAATCACTAGCCATGAAAAATTCATGCAAGAGACCTGGTTGCCGTTTTGCCGTTACATCTGGCATGCAATGTGACAACTGTAAAGGTTGGTTCCATGAGGCATGGACAGACCTAACAGCAGCAGCCTATAGCAGACTCAGCAAGTCTGATCATAGGTGGGTATGTGTTACCTGCAACACTGATACGGTAGTTATGTTGGGTACTATCATTACTTTACTTACAGGTCTGAGAGATAAGTTGTCTAAGAATTCCGTAAATGATAGCATCATGACGGGTAACAAAGCTGGAACGCATAGGGCAAATAAGAAAAAGGATACTGACAGGTCGGCTATCGACGGTGCTGTTAACAGCACGAGTGATGATGTGCTGAAACTCAGCACCATCTTAACATCGACTGTCATCGACTCCCTCAGTAAACTTGGGTCCCCCGGGGAACGGTCCTTGAATGAGACAGTGGTTCCCAAAAATCCTGTGGGTGGATGGACTCACGTTAACAAGAGTAATAAAGCCCAAGCGTCCCCTCCGAAACTGAACGTCCCAAGTATCGTGCGGAAATCAGTTGATGCTTTGGCCGCACAGTCTACACCCAAGACTGTCAAGCCTGGTCATCACTGAGCCCAGGAATCGAAAACGTGCCTCGACATCCAAACAACAAGATACCAAACCTAGACGCCCTGGAAAACCTGGGAAATCAATTGCGGTTCGTGACGACTCTGTCATAATCATGAACCTTATTGACAACCCCGACCTTCCTCTCAGTTTGCAGGACAAAAACGATAGGATGCTCTGGGGAGAATTAAACAAGAGGCTTGAACTCCCTAGAATAGAGCCTTTGACCGCCACACGGCTCACTCGGGGGAAGGACTCTAACCACCTAAACCACCCGAAGCTGCTTCGTGTTACACTTAAGAATGCCTCCGACGTAGAGGACGTCCTGCTAGCCAGTCACTTACTGAAGTCCGATGGGAACGTAAGAATACTGCCCGACATACCGTATTCTGGACGAAATCTCATCCGGAACATCCCTAAGGAATCTCGCGAGGCGTTTTTCCGTGGACGAAATATCATTGTGCAAGGTGTGTGGGAAAATTTGGACCCAACTCAAGCAAACTCTGATATTCGGGAATGGAAATTCATCAAGCATTCCTTAAAACTCAAGAACATATTGACCCAACAGGTAATGAGACTGGCCAAGAGAGACGGAGACTCTAGGCCCCGGCTGCTGAAGATAACCTTCCCCTCCTCCCACATAGCGGCTGCAACTCTGGAAGCATTTCGTGCCAATAGACGTCGGTTGCCAACTGGCATCCATATGCATCCGGATAGACCCCACGACAGCAGGATCAAGCACAAACGAAAGCTGGAGCTGACAATTCCACTCGTGGACTGTCTTGACCATAAAAAAAAGTGTAAAGGACAGGGACTACCAACTCGGTAAACATCGTATAGGTAGGCTACCTGTCCACTCACACACGGCTCATAAAGACAAACAAGAAGAGGCTCACGCGTTCCAAATTGAAAGCATAAACTGCCTATACACGAACGCCGCGAGCTTGTCAAACAAAATGGATGAGCTACGTGAACTTAGCAACGCTAATGATGCCCATCTGATAGGAATATCCGAAACTTGGATAACGTCTCAGTTTACGGACCAAGAGTTAGCAATAACTGGGATGTCTTTATTTCGCAACGACAGAAAAACAGTAATGGGTGGTGGGGTAGCACTATACGTACGGTCATGCCTGGATGCGCACCAACTTCACAACCAAGAGTTTCACAATCTTGACGAGTCAGTATGGTGCTCAGTAAGATTATTTACCACCTCGAGGTGCCTAGTTGGGGTCGTTTACAGGAAGCCCACTGCCGACATCGAATATGACAAACGTCTGCTGGAAGGATTATCTCGCTCTACGCGTCTCGGATTCTCTCATATCCTGATTCTAGGGGATTTCAATCTCCCTAGAATCAACTTCGTGGAACATACATACATTGGTGGTGCCAACTCTACTGAAGCTCTGTTCTTCAACCTTATAGGCGACCTGCGATTATTTGAAAATGTGAAGTCGGCAACCCGTTGGAGAAACAGTCAGACGCCGTCACGCTTAGACTGGGTATTCACAAATGAAGAATTCCTAGTTGACGACCTCTTAATCCTGGCTCTCCTGGGGAAAAGTGATCACGCCGTCTTATCATTCAGCTTTGTCAGCAAAACGGAGCTACGATATCCTACTAGCAACAATTGCTGGAACTTAAAACGGTTGAATGTGTTAGCTTTACAGGACTATCTACAACAGGTGGATTGGGATGTTCACCCTCAAATTGAAGTGGATGCTTAGTGGGATTTTTTACTGCACACGATCTTATGTGCTACTGAGCATTCAGTTCCTAAAATGGTCCCAAAAAGCTACAAGCAACCTGCAGTCATCAAGAACCGCACTCGCCGTTTGCTAAGCCGCAAAAGGCACTGTTGGGCTGAATATAAACGAACTGATAACAACGGCGCGTACAGGCAATACAAACATATAAGGAACATATACACAAAGGCAATAAGAGAAGCCAGGCTTCAGTTCCAGACCAAGCTTATCGATAGATTCGTCTCCAATCCGAAAAGCTTGTTCACTTATGCAGCTTCTCTTCGACAAGGCAAAACCGGAGTTTCCCAACTGCTTGGTCCTAATGGCCCGACCAACAACGACAGTGATGCCGCTAACCTTTTGGGTGAACATTACTCCCGGACATTCCAGCTGACCCACATCAACCATACTGACGAAAGCTTCACCTGCACCTCTACAGGACTTTCCGAAGTGGACCTGAGTGCTGACCTGGTGCTCCGTAAACTGCAGAACCTAAGAAAAGACACTTCTCCTGGTCCGGACATGGTTCATTCCGCTGTATTGAGGGAAGCAGCTTCAATCCTGGCGACACCACTTAGCGTGATGATTGCACACTCGCAAACTACCGGAAATATGGAAGCTGGCCCACATCACACCAATTTTCAAAGGAGGTCGACGCAGTGAACCCTCACGCTACTGACCAGTGGCCCTTCTCTCCATACCTTCCAAAATTATGGAATCCCTAGTATTCGACGGCATACTAGAACACTTATTATCCTCAAAGTTCTTCTCGCCTCGACAGCATGGTTTCAGAAAAGGTCATTCTTGTATGACCGACCTGCTGACTGCGATGGATAGATGGACAACCATCCTTGATCGCAAGGGGAAGGTTGACGTCATCTACCTGGACTTCTCAAAAGCTTTTGTTAGGGTCAACCACGCATGTCTTATCAAGAAGCTTGGACAATTGGGTATAAAACCCCCTTTGATTGATTGGCTCTCTTCATATTTAGAAAACCGACACTTTAAGGTCAGGGTTAACTTCACTCCCTCTCAGATTATGGAATGTCCTAGTGGGGTCCCCCAGGGTTCAATACTAGGACCTCTTCTCTTCTTGATTTATATTAACGATCTTCCTCAATAAGGTTCATTTGACTTATTGCTTTTTGCTGATGATGTGATACTTTGGAGAGATACGTAATCATAATGATATACTAGTTCTTCAGGAGGATCTGACCCGATTCAAAGTTGTCCAGATGACAACGGATTTACCTTCAACACTTCAAAGTGCAAGGTAGTCCATCTGAGACATGTTGCAGACTATAGTTATAACTTAGGTAACTCCCCTCTAGAAGTTTCCCAAGTTGAAAAAGATTTAGGAGTGTTGGTACCCTACGACCTGAAATCATATGCGAACTGTAACAAAAAAGCCTCTCAAGCAAACCTTGCACTGGTAACATTGAAGCGCATTTTTGGCCAGTTTGACGGTAGAACCTTC